GGAGTGTTTGCAAGACATTGTTTATTTATTTATTTTTTTTTACTATAAGACAGATTGTCTCTCTGATTGATATCACCCTGGGATTCATGACCAGTGCATGCATGTTCCATTTTTTCTCAATGAAATGCATGTGCAAATGGTAATTCAAATGTTTCCTAGCAACAAGATCTACCTAACTGTTGGAGCAACAATGCTGAGGCAACTTCCAGGAGTGCAGTCACTGACAGATTTGCCCAAACATATTACCCTGCTTTAAAGTCATGAACCTCTCACCCTTTCTCAGCCCTGCAAGATGCAGCTGCGGATCTACAAACATGCATTAAAGGTTTACTTAAAATTGTAGCTCAGATCAAAAGCTCTCTGAAGACATTAAATGTGCCACGCTGCAGTATGTGTAGCTAAATGATGTAATGTTAGAGTCATAAAAACATGGCATCCTGGGAATGAATATTTTATTAAATGTAAAGATGTAGATTAATTGAAGCGGTGGATCAAGGAAATATAAAATATGCATGTAGTGCAGAATGAAAAGGTCTTCTTTTGCTTTATAGCTTTCATGAGGTTAAATACAAGAACCTGTTGCTTTCCTCCCATCAGACTCTAAATGAATTTGACTTTGGGCTACGGATAATCTCAACCTTGTCCGGCTAATCCACATAAGGTGGTGTTCAGAATAACTTAACTGCATTATGGTGCAAATGTGACAGACTATTGGGTTCACACTCAACAGGTTACAAATTAAGTACCTTTTGTCGCTGCTGTCGGCAAATTTCACGACCTCAGAGATAAAACTAGAGAGGAATACGTTTATGTGAAAAGGAAGAGGGTTTTTCGTTTGGGTTGAGCTGGAAAAAACATGCTGTGGGAAATCTAACTCTCCCACCAGCCTGCTCCCATTTGCACATCTGAGTCTTTGGGGGATGATCACCTGCTTGGGGATGATGCACTTGGAGCACTTGACACTGCGGGGCTTGCTGAAACTGTAGAGAGCAGAGATGCTGAGCTGCTGCAGCCACTTAAATGATGCTTCATGAGAGACTTGCTCTTTTTACATGGTCAGTTTAAGGGCTGTGAAACAATTTGAACTTGTAGTTGTCATTATTCTGATTTTTAAAAAGTTTACCAAACAAGCAATAATCAGTATAAATGTCTCCATGGGTTATGTGAAAACACAAGACAGTAGACTCCAGGTATTTATCTCCTTGGAGTGTCTGTGGATTATTTGGTGTATTATAATGAGTGACTGCACCATGATGACATCAGTGGGCTTGAGTAGATTTGGGGAAGTTAGATAAGATAGGAAAAATGTGGGAACTTTGATTCACAGCAGGGTTTAGTGGACTGACATCCCTCTGCTCTTTTAAAACTCTCACCTGTTTCTCCAGCGCTTCCTTCCCAGTAGTGGACATCTTGGGCGCCGGCGCGCGCTCGCAGGTGCATCTTTCCAACAGGTAAATCCCGGCAGGTCTCGTGCTCTGCTCGTTCTCGAAGTAGAACAGTATATTCTGGTAGAGGGCAAAGAACTTCTCGTGCCATCGGCTGCTCTCCGCGGTCTTCTTGCTCAGGTAGCCGCGCTTAGTCCCCTCTTTACGCGCGTACTCCGACAGATAGAGCGCGTGCCCTTCGTTGTAGCGGAAGCTCTTCTGCATTTTTGTCGTACGGTTTTGGAAGGGAAGAAGAAAGTGGGACAAGCGAAGCTTTCACCGCGAGCTCTCACAGCCCATGTTCGCCGGGGGTTGCGTGTGAACTCTCCCACCCAGAGATGCGCGGCTCAGAGGCGCCGTGGCGCACCAAAAAGTTGCCCCGCTGACTGGAGCGCTTCTGCAGAAGAACTCATAGTACAGAAGTCCGAGTCCCACAAACACTAGGATAAATCCATGCTGCTCGTCAAAAAGCACGCTTTTATATATGTATAAAAAAGAAAACAAGCAGGAAGGAAGCGAGAGGCGTGTCGTTCACAAAGGGGAGAACCCTCAAGTGGACACAGTGACAGAATCACAGACCCAGTGGAGAGTAATCGGCTTTGACAGTGGTTAACTCTCTGTCTCTCTATCGCATGCACACAAACACTCACTCACACTATCTCTCTTTCTCTCTCTGGTGATGCGCGCTGATCTTGGAGTTGGCGGAATTAAAGGCGGAGCGTGAGTTGTGTGAGTGTGTGTGAGTGAGAGAGAGAGGGAGATGTAATGCTGATTTCCATAGTGGCAAATGTTGTGATTTGTTTCTGCATTATTAATAGCGTTGCATCAAAGAGCACACACTAATGAATATATTAATGGATAAAGAAAAAAGATCAATAGTCCTACAAATTCAACCTTGACTTCCTTTAGGCTTTTTTTTTCGCCCGACAACAAGAAATGTTGTAGTTTATATTGACACAGAGCTCCACTGATATTTTGGAAGAGTACAATTAAATATGAAAAAAACAACAACTTATGGAAAACCTTGTGTGGCTCCAGAGGGAGCTGCACTAAAGCACAAAGTCTGATAAACCAACATATTCTTACTTTGACCTCATCACATAATATTGACGTTTGGTCATTTACTTTCCACGTTCACATACGATGTGCAAGGTACCCTGGGTGCGTTGGTTCTTTACATTCTGGGACACCGTCAAGTTCTGCCTGTTGCATGCATTGTCTTCTTTCAAAATACACTTATGTTTTCACAGGAGATTTAACTTTTACATATGGTCTCTTTCAAAGTAAATGCACTATGTCGGTACCACAAACTGACTTTTTTTCCCCTTCAACAACAAACACAGGTGGTTGTATTTAGGCAACAAACACACTTGGTTGGGTTTAGGAAAATAGAACAGGGTTCGGGACATATAAACCGTTCTCTGGGGTAAAAGTCGGTGTTTGGACCCATCCATCACATCTCCTGCCCACCCCAGTCGGACTTTTACCGCCTTAACTTTTGTCCTTGTGGGGCGTCAGTGGCTTGGTGGTAGAGCAGGCGCCCCATGTACAAGGCTGTTGCTGCAGCAGCCCGGGCTCGAATCCAGCCTGTGGCCCTTTGCTGCATGTCACCCCCCGTCACACTTACCTGCCCTTGTCCTTGTACCACGGAGCCTCCCCCTGACACTGCTGGGCGCTGTTAAACTATAACAGCGACTGGCTGTGTATCATGCAGACGTTAAAGGATGCCTTTTTTCACTGGTTTCTGATTCCGCCAGTCACTGCCCAAGCGCCAGATTTCAGCGACTTCGGAGGGAGACCGGGCTCGATAAACTGCCTTTAAGTGACGCCACAAGACCACAAGTTTGATAATGAAAAGAAACCTGGAGTTGGAGTTGGAGTTTCTCATCTAATATTAACAATAATAATGCATTTTATTTGTAGGTGCCTTTCAGAGCGCTCAAGAACGCCTTACAAGACACAGTAAAAAAAAAACAAACAAAAAAAAACAAGCAGCAATGTATCCATAGGTCATATAATCGAACAATTCCCTAATATCCAATAAAAGTTAATAAAATGACTGGACAAAAATCGTACTTAAAAACATTAGGTATAAAATCATCATCAGTGTTAATCGGTGTTAATATGTGTGTCGCCATTAAATCAGACTGAGTATGCCAGCTTGAAAAGGTTTTCAGACGGGATTGACAGTGGAAAGGGAGCCTAAATATTGTGAATGTCATGGGCAAGAGAGTTCCAGATGTGTGGGCAAAATGGCTGAAGGCTCTAGAACCCATGGTAGTCAAGCGGGCAGATAGTGATGAGGGGCCTTGAAGGTAAGAAGCAGAATCTTGAAATCGATGCATTATTTAACAGGAAGCCAGTGAAGTTGCCAGAAGAAGAAGAACAGGAGTGATATGATCTATGGAGGGGGTTCTGGTAATGATACGGGCATATGAATTCTGGACCAACTGGAGTTTATGAAGACACTTGAGAGGGAGACCACAGAGGACAGAATTGCAATAATCAATACAGGATGTAACCAAAGAATGAACAAGGATAGCAGCGCTCTGAGGTATATTTCGTAGATGAAAGTATGCAGACAGAGTGTCATTGTTGATGTGGGCCTCAAAAGACAGTGTACCCTCCAGGATGACACCCCAACTCTCAACCTGATGGGATGGATGGACTTTGGAGTTGTCAATGGTTAGGAAGAAACTGTGTGGTTTAGCCAAAATAGATTTAGTATCCATAAGGAGAACCTCAGTTTTATTACTGTTAAGTTTGAGGAAGTTGCACAAAAGCCAAAGGGAATTGAGGGGAAGAGTAGAGGTAAGCCTAGTGGATAGATAGAGCTGGGTGTCATCAGCATAGCAGTGGAATTGAATGCCAAATTTTCTGAAGATATGGCCAAAAGGTAGAAGGTAGATCATAAATAAAAGGGGACTTAGGACAGAGCCCTGAGGAACACCACTAGTAACTTGAAAAAAGTTGGATTTGAAATTTCTGATTTGAACAAAGTGAGTGTGGCCACAGAGATAATGTTTAAACCAGTCGAGAGCGGTGCCAGTGATACCGCCTTTTTACCAAGGCTCTCTCAGTACTGTGAAAGAGCAAAAACTGGACTGAAACTGTTCAGATTGTTGTGACTAAGGTGAGTGTGGATCTGAGTGGCAACTGATCTTTCAAGTATTTTAGAAAGGAATTTGTTCAAGTTGTTAGGATCTGCACCAGGTTTCTTTAATACTGGAGTTATAGCAGCAGTTTTGAGAGGAATGTATAATCTCAGTTATTAAGGAGGAGAAGGAAGGAAGACAGATCCATCATCTGTGCTTGAGGCGAGGGGCTCAAGGCCACACTAGACACTAATAGCATAACTTTAACATACTGTTATCTCTAACCAAACTGTCACGGTAAAGCTGCATTATGGGTAATGCCACACACTGACAAAGGAGAAAATGCATGGAGTAAAACATCTCTGGTTCTGCTGCATCAATTTTGATCTTTTTTAACAGTTCTTCGAAACTATGTGAATGTTGTAGTAGTGTAATGCTAAATTGGTGGTGTTCTCTTTGAAGGTAAAAGAACAGTGACAAGTTTGTCTTTTCTTTCTTTATTTAATCACGATCACCAAACACATGAATGTGACATGTAGTCTCGTAGGTAAAATCTTGATCTGGTGGGTATTAATTGATGGTATGATGATTAGGTTACAGTACAGATGGTGGTGCTAACCAGAACCTGAGAGGGTTAAAATCCTTTTCATGCACACAAACTAGCAAAGATAGCAGCAGCAACCACTACTCCATCAGTGCTGAGTCATTTTTCAAACAAGTTTTTACTTCTGTACTTCCTTGTATATGCTTCTTTGAGCATTCTCTCTTCTTCATTAGTGATCTGTTGGTACTGACTACCGCTGTAGCGCCGTCAAGAGCTTGACTGCAGCCACTCCATGAAGGACGATCTGTCCGAAATGCTCAAAAGATCTGAGAGAATTTTCTTATTCTTCCTAGAGAGATGGAGACAAAGACAGAGAAATGTTGCTTCAACAAAACACTGTATATAAAAATGTTGTATATCCTCACACAGTGTCTTACCCTGACATACAGCTGTGTAAGAGTACAATGAGGGTACAATAAAATCCCTGTTCTTAACCTCCGACCGGCAGCTCATCTCCTGCGTACGATTATTGTGTACTCAGCATGGCTTTACTCCAACAAAGGACAAACATTTCATATAGGGAGGATTACATTGACAGAGAAGTATGGCTGTGTGTGTGTGTGTGTGTGTGTGTGTGTGTGCTGACTGATATTTCATATGGTGAGGATTACTTAGGAAGAGGCTAAGCAGCACTCAACTCCCAGCAGGCTGTCTGTTACAGAGCGAGGAGATGCCATGTACAAATTTACAGAGATAGAAGAGTGTATTTGGAAAAAGTGCAAAACGCTGATGCTTTGACAGCAAAAGAGTTTGTCTTATTCCCATTTCCTAGCTCAAACTTAAGTGTAACATCTGTACCTGGCAGTGTGTGGTTCATCCAAATAGAAAAACTTGGCTACATCAGATTTTCTCTTCCTTCCACTATTAGTATGCACTTGTACAATCCTCTCAAGACTTGGAAAAATAAATTAGCCAAATAAGATCAGGACCCCTGGGAGAGAGGTATGACAATAGTTTTACAAAACTGAGTCCATTTGGTTTTAATGAGCAATTCCAGCAAATTTATATGAATTAAATTTGGATTACAACAGATTAGGAACATTAATTTCAAATCAGACCTTTAAACAAGGAACAATTGAAAAAGCAATCCTGTTTCTGCTGAAGGAAAATTGCGCCACAGACAGCTAAATAAAAGTAGTTATTGACAACCCACACAACATCTGATGGTGGTGATAAGACGGTCCAGAGGTCGTACTGGCTGCATCCCTTTCAGACATCATGAGAGTCTCTAAAAACATTGAAATAAAAGTTGACAGCAACATGGTTTTGCATGTCTGAGGATCAAAGGGGCCTAAGTTTGGCAGCGGTAGATGAATTCCAAACGTCCTATCATAAACCTGCCTGTAGGTCTTTCTCCTCTCTGTCTCTCCTAAATCTGAGCTGCACCAGCACTCTGTACCCCGTCTGATGTACCAGGAATATTGGTACATTTTCTGGTAAGCAGCACAAGAATGAAATCAAGTTCATTTGCGTGATAAAGCTTAAATAAACCTCATTCAATGTTGGCAGAGCTGCTTTGAGTTTTATTTCCTAATGACACACATTTGACTCCTCTCAGCTGTCAAGCTTGATTAGTATTGAACAGTATTCAAGAAACTCTCTAAAAGTGCTGGAACAAAATATTTTTGATTTATGAGAAGGTTTAAAGGGATATTACTCCACAGTTTTAGCATTAACCATCCAGGAAGTAGGGGGATTTGTGAGAGACATGTTCAAAATGTATAATAAAAGTAAAAATTAAAGCATTCAAGGCTGAAATATCCTCACTTTTGTCCTTAATATGGGTCAAGCCCCAAAAGCACCACATCCTACATTTCCCATAATGCAACCTGATAGTTTTACGTGTTAACCTGCATTCGGACTGTCTTTAGTCCAGCAACTTTAGTCCATTTCAATGAGACCAGACTGTTAAAGCAGCAGGAGTGCTCTTACAGGATTACAGGACTGTTGGCAGAGTTGGGAGGGTTACTTTTATGGCTCTGACACACAAAGCCAACGGCCAGCCGTCTGTCAACGTTGGGCCATCGATGAGTGTCTTTCGCCCTAGGTGGTGCAGTGCGTCCTTCACTGTTGTCCCTCATCGGCCCCTGTCTGCTTCTTTTGTCCGATTCAGCATATTGAACTGGCATCAGTGACAGCTGAGCCCATTGAGTGAAACCACTTTGATTGGTTGTTCAGCTCAGCGCACGTGAAGAAAAATGAAAGTGAGGAAAGTAAACAAAACAACTAAAGTCAAGAGGGAATGAGTTTGAAACAGGCTATTTGTTTAAAGATAAAAAAAAAACTAACTAACTAACTAAAACTAAATCTAAAATAGCTGTCAAAATTAACGTTGACCGTAAGTGGCTCCCAAAACATGTCAGGTTTGTAAAAGCACACTTTTTTTTCAAAGTACAGTGAATTTCCAGCACAGAGCGTTTACTTTGAAGTGCGGTTTCCTGCTGTAAAGTGAGTAACTAATGAACAGCTACTTGACAGAGACGGCAAACTAACTTGATGACATGACCAAACTCAAGTGTGACACTGAATGTATTAATCTGTGTGAACCTTGAACTAATGACTAAGGAGAAATTTGGACCCCGTGGCTGGAACAGTTGGGAACCACTGCCTTAGCAGAAACTTTCAGCTCCCTGGCAATGATCTCCCTCCAATCAGCTGCAATTCCATTTCATGTTTGTAGTTAAAGGATGAGTTGTTGTCTTCAACTATGTGAATTAGTCATTCTTTGTTCATTGCAGAGCTTTCATAGCGAGCGACAGGAATAAATAGAACCAGGGCATCTGACGAAATGGCAGTGCTGCGCGTCCCTTGTGGCCAGGTCAAACCTTCAAGTAGAAAATAACTGAATCGAACTGATGCTCACACGTCACATTCAGTTAGAACGTGATGTTAGAGAAAATAATGATTATTAACTGCCTTTGTAATATCTTTCCAGAGTTGTAAAATACTGTCACAGAGTTCTACAAATCTTTGTACAATGTTTTGGCATCTGATAACCCTTTAAATTCACTGATCTATGGTACTTCCTGGATTTCACCATCTCACCTGATACAACATAGCCCCCTTGTGCTGTTTAACACAGTGCTGTTTTCAGTCTGAACGCCTACTTTGACCCACCCTGCTAGGTAAACACCCACATCTTTGAAACTTCACACCTCCAGTTTATGACACATGCTCTGTTATAATTCTTAGTCTCAAAAAGCCCAAACACAGATAACCCCGTTACCATCACCAGAAATATTTTCCCAGAATTTAAAAAGCTCCTCCTGAGCCACAAAATATATTACTCAAATGTTTTCACAGTTGTTCTCCCTGTGACTTGTAAACTGATCTTTTTGTGTGAAATTCCTTTAAGAAATGGTCAGGGTGAATACACGTGTTCGCTGTACCTCCTGGCGTTGACCATGCTCTCAAGCTCTTGGGCTTTGCGTGCAGCAGAGTGTAGTATAGGATCTGGGATGTCAGCCAATCGGGCAACATTCAGGCCATAGCTCCGCCCTGCAGCTCCTTGAGTTAACTGGTAGAGGAAAGTGATGAACTCTGGCTGAACCTCTCCATCTGTAAGCATTCACACACACATATACATTAAACTCTCAACAAAGTGCCAGGTGATAATGACTTAGAAAAAATATGACTGCTCTCAATTTACCTGCAAGGCAACAGTCAAACCAGGAATTCCCAGCAAAAAAAGATCTAAATCATTTTCACATGCACACAAAAATGCGCACACACATACCGTCAGTGTCAGTGTCGATGTCAGGTTCATTGAGTAGGAAAGCCATGTGGTAGTTAGACACATGTTGAGGATAGACCCGCTCCAGCTCACACAGAGGAGGGTAATGGGTCACAAACAGGGTGAGGGATTTCACCTAAGAAAAGGAAAGAGAGAGTGAAGTGTTAACATTTTGATGCCAGGTCTAAAAAGGTTGAGGAGCTTCCAGGGACCCTGTGTACCAGACTTTTCAGCATGTTACGGATCTGGAAAACTGCATAAACACGGTCAACCAGATGTAAATGCAATCCGTACATCGGGGGGCAGATTCACAAAAGGACTGCAAGGTTTTTGCAGCTAAAGCTGCACAAATAAACAAAAAGAAATGGTGTAATTCTCAATGCACTCGCTAAGGGTGAAATGCACCCTAAACTGTGCTGCCATGCATCGTTTAGTGCATCATTGGCCCCTTTCTATGCAAATGAGCCTCGTTGCAAAACCAGTCTAATCCACATTGATCAGTGTTGCATGCAGTTACACAGAAATTATTAATATCTTCAGAGAGTTGGTGGTAACTTAAGTGCACTTATAAGGGGTGCCATTCTGAGACTTTCCAGACTGCCTTAAGGTTTGGGGAATGAACCTCGTCGGTCATGACCTGTAGCTCACTGTAGCTCTTCTTTTGCTCTGTTGTTCTGCCCACTGTGTTCTTGATGCAAAGGCAACGTTTATACTTTCCAACATGGATAATTGATCTTTCACGTAGTCCCGCCCCTCGAACGCAGTCTGGTCGATTAATGTATAGCAGTCAGGGTCCAGTTAGGGACGTGACTATACCTAAGGGAGCAGTTAGGTATAGTCAGGGTCCAACAACTACACAGCTGTGCTCCATTGATTCTTATGCAATCGTTTCATATTTCCTTCATTTTCAGGCTGATTTTCTGGATTTGGAGCTAAAAGTTGTGCCTGGGGCACGTCTTGTATTAATGACTCTTGTTACCTGGAGAGGTTGGAAAAAGATATACATTTCTTCCCTGTTCCCAAACCAAAATCAAACCCTGAAAAGTGTAGGGTTAGCTAGCTAGCTACTGAAGATATAGCCTACTGAATGTATACACATGCTGCTTTTGCTTTTAGTGCTTGTAACAATGAATAAAGACCGACCCTGTTTTACAAGAGAAGCAGGGAAACTTGCTGAATTTCAACCAGCTGTTTGTCATCGCAGTGTCTGCAAATGAATGGTATCTGGCTTCCACCAGAGCTACCAGCCTGTCTGCAAGTGTAGTTTGAGCGCAGACGGGACGAGGAAAAGCTAGACACCATTCATATGCATATAGTGCGATGACACATAGCTGGTTGAAAATCACTTAAGTTTCCCTTTATTTTCATTGTCTTCTGTGTTCTGTGTTGATCACCAGTGATGTTTGACATCCTGGATATATCCTTCGAACACAGACTGTAGAACCCTCTGTCTGCTTCTCTCTAGAATCAATATTACATTTTTACAAAAATGTGATGATATTTCTTCAGGAAGTGTAGTTAGTTACAGTGTGGGCTCCATGCAAGCTACAACAGCTTGACACACCATCGCAAAGGGGCGGGGCTTTGCGATGGGTCGACTTCAAACCGATTGCACACAACTTCAAAAAATGTAACAGCATATTTGTACGGTAATATCATCAGCGCAATATCTTTTCGGACCTTGAGATGAGGCAGATGGTTGCAAGTGATGAGCAATTCATGGTGCTTTCAGTGGCTGTAATCCATTCTTTGTCTATGTGTTTGCATTAGGGTTGCAATGTTATGGGAGTTTCATGGTACACTAACCTTTAAAGAAAATATCACTATTTCACAATATCACAATATACAGCATAACAACATTGTTATTTTCATTGCTTATAGTGAGCCTTAAAGAAATTAAAACAGAAGGGTTTTTAACAAATGCTATATTGTCATTAAAACTCGAAACTATTATTTAAATGTTAGTATGTGTAAAAAGTCTGACAGGCAGTCAAGGAGGACGTGTGCGGTTGCACTTTTTATATCATACCGTACATAAGCAAATGTACAAGGTATGACAACCATCAATTTTCATACCACAGTACACAATTTAATGGTACACAGCTGCAACCCTAGTTCACATATGTAAGAGAATATTCAGCAGAAAGGTAGAAAAAAGCATAGCTGCAGGAAGAAATGTCATCACTGCAGTCGCTGCTTATACCGGCCTGCCACAGAAGCTTGTCATTTCTGTTGTCTCTGAGAGTTGAAGACATCTCTAGGTAAAAGTAAGAAAAGTAAGTACAGGCTGTACACTAGTAACGTCACTTGAGGTGACCCCCCACCTGCTATGTTTGGTTTTACTGACAATAGAACTACCACCTTCCCACCTACTCACCAGCTTTGCAAAGTGCCTGTGAAAACTGAGATCTATCACTATGTGCACAGAATGCAGACAAGAAAATGATGGGAAAACTGAAGTAAATGTTGAGATACTGCAGTTGTATTTGTCACGGTCTATTAAACAGACACATTTTAATACTGGGTGGTCATGTTGATTGAATAATAATCACATATAAAAAATAATGAGCCAAATTTTCATTAAACACAGTAAAGAAACAGAAACATCCTCATAAACAAGGTGAAGCCATAGTGGACCTTTTTCACTGCAGACATTTTGACATGTCATAGTGGGAAAATCACAGGTGAAATTGATATCATTAACGATGGCTCAATTCCATTAAGTGTCCCAGTAAGCTCTTCCAGTGAGCCAGCATGCTCAGTGCCAGACCTCCCCTTAGCGGAATGCAGCCACCATTAACGTTAATAAATACACCTGTGCTTTCCCGACTATGACAAGTCAAAAATGTCTACTGTGAAAAAAGTCTATCACACAATAAACAAGACTAACAGTCTAAAGGCTGGTGGCTCTGTGAGGCTCATGCTCGCAATGATAATTCTAACATGCTGATATTTAGTAAACATAATCTCACCATGTTCACCAGTTTAGCATATTTGCATTCTAATATCTTCCAGTTGGCACTAAGCACTGGGGCTGCCCCCTAATAGTTGAGCAAACGTTAGTCGACAAGAAAGGTCATTAGTGGACAAGATTTCATTGGAAGCTTAGTCGCAGAAAAAAAACAAAAACAAAAAACAAAACAAATGTGAATTGCTATTAGGAGCTGGGCTGTCTGCACAAAACTTCACGGCAGTCCCTCAAAAAGCTGTTGAGATATTTCAGTGACGCACCAGCCAACAAATGAACACCCTAACCATCTAATTTACAAAGCAACGTCACCTTAAGCGCACGCTCACTTGGTGGTGTAAGCCCTTACACATAATATGCATATTTACCCTTTCTACAAGCATATGATTAATAAGCCTAGTAAACACCAGAATCTTGATTCTATTCTACTAAATATTTTTATTTCTTTTGACCTCAGTGATTATTAATCTTTTTTTTTTTTTTTACTATTTCTTCAGCCTCACACAAAGGAGAAAAGTAGGCGGCAAAAAGAACAAAAAGACAAGAGACAAAGGAAAGAGACAAAGTGATACACAAACCAAATGGTAGGTATTATAACAAATGTTGCATTATGTAACAGCGTTCCTGTTACCACAACTAAGCAAAAGTTGTAGCTGAAAAGCCAAAAGCAGATCATCTATATCTACCGTACTTTGGCACAGTGTTACTTAACCGCCTCTGTACCCTGCAGTGTGCTGAGCTAATACATGAGTACACGCTTTGTGAATATTACCACCAGTATAAACACATACATACAGTATTGTGTCACTCTTTCCCCCATCACTCTTTTGTTTTGTTTTTCTCTTCAGGATGTCTGCAGTCAATCACTCCGTTTTTCTGCCTCTCACTGTAAACACCACTCCCCGCTTTTCAGGCTCTGGAGGGGGATCGAGCAAAGTGAAGGCACTTCACCTCATCCCGCTATACTTTAATCTCTGTCAGGCCTGGGAGCCACCCAAAGGCTACATGACTGAACTCTGGCATTAAGGTTAAGACGTGAAAATCACAAAAAGCGGATGGGGCGTGCACTCAGTCACTCAGCCTCTCTCTAAAATGCATGCACAAACATTTTTCCCCTCTCAGGACAGCTGCTGAGAGCTCTTCACTAAAACAAATGCATTTCCTTTTCCTGCTTACTTTAACAGCCCAATCACATGAATGATAGCAGGGAGGACGCGTTAACACAAAACACTGAAAATATCTCATGCATACTAAAAACAGTCCTGACGATGTGACAAAGTGTTGAAACATAAAAGCTAATGCTGGACTAGTGTTAGTATTAATAATCATTAGGTCTGATGATGACAGTAATGAAAACAGTAGTGGTGAATCATGGTGAAGCAGGCCTGAGTCTTACATCATCGCAGCAGACAAGCGGCTGCAGGACTCGTCTGACTCCAGGATCGTCCCACTAACCGCTCGGTCTAAGAAAGGTCACACGTCACTAGTAATACCTTCCTCTGAAAGAGACGTGCATGGTGACTCCCACATGTTTTAAACAAAGACACACAGACCTGCACACTCATACGGGCACACATGCACACACAGGCAAGCTACTTCAATCATTCCTGTCCACCTACACTGAAAAAGGTAAAAACAAACGGAGCGTGGCAGCGGGAGGCTCCAGCCTGGATAATGGTCTGATTAGGTGCTAATGGCGGCTCATTACCAGGCCACCCTTGGGTGAACTGACAGCCGTGTTCTGCAGAGCTGGACGATGTGATGAAATTAGCGCTGAAACAATTAGACAATTAATCGATTAGTCGGTAACCAGAAAATTAATCACAGGCAATTTCGATGATCAAATAATTGTTTAAATCAAGTTAAAAGAAATCCAAACACTTCCTCACTCTCAACCTGTCAAATACTGCAGCAAAAGAAGTTTGGTCAGTGGCCCTACGCATTCAACTACAGCGCTTTAGGTTCCCCTCTGGCGTCAGTTTTCAATGTTCAGGGACAGCATGTCAATTTCCTGCTCGTTACATGATACACTGTCCTTTGAAAATAAACTTTCCAGTTTGCGGGAAATGTTTCATCAACAAAAAAAGATCATGGGCTTGGTTTAAGTATCTACATCTATTATGTAACTTCACTTATGTCAGTAAGTTAACAAGTATGTCACATGATGT